TTTACCGTCGACCTCTAAATATTCGATGCCAGCGGGCCTGAAAGTTTTATTCCGGGCAATAAAGTAAATAGGAGGAGTAGAACATAGGACGGGACTGAGATGTCAATTGGCATGGTGTGACAGGTGTGTCATTTGACATGCTGGGTGTGACATGGATGTCATTTGACATGCTGGGTGTGACGGATGTGTCGTTTGACATGCTGGGTGTGACATGGTTGTCATTTGACATGCTGGGTGTGACATGGATGTCATTTGACATGCTGGGTGTGACGGATGTGTCGTTTGACATCCTGGGTGTGACAGATGTGTCATTTGACATGTTGGATGTGACATGGATGTCATTTGACTCACTGGGTGTAACAGGGATACCGTCCGAAATAGTAGATGCGCCACCGATGTCATCTGTCACAGTGGGTGTGACATGAATGTTATGTGATATAGTAAGTATGACAATGATGTCAACTGACACAGTGGGTGTGACACGAATACTCTGTGACACATAGGGCGAGACACGGATGACATCAAACTATGATCGAACTGTTGTGTATAACAGATGTGTATAGGGCCTTGAGTGTCTATTCTTACGGACTTCGTGTTAGAATTACGTCCAATGTTACCGGGAAGAAAAGGTTTACTATCCCCCCCCCCCCCCCATTGTCAGGCGTGCTATTGAGACACAAACCCAGGTACCAAACTTGTAGGTGACCTCATATATTCCAGTGTGCCACAGAGCGTGACCAAGAAACAAGACACTTGTCTTTAGGGCTTGTTTTTTTTTTTCTACGAGCCGTATCGCACAACAGCGTCACAGCCTTTTGTCATTTTGTGTTGGGGAATTTTTCATACAACCTCAATGTTATTTTTCATACTACCACACCTCAATGTTATTTTTCATACTACCTCAATGTTATTTTTCATACTACCTCAATGTTATTTTTCATACTACCTCAATGTTATTTTTCATACTACCTCAATGTTATTTTTCATACTACCACCCCTCAATGTTATTTTTCATACTACCACCCCTCAATGTTATTTTTCATACTACCACCCCTCAATGTTATTTTTCATACTACCACCCCTCAATTTTATTTTTCATACTACCACCCCTCAATGTTATTTTTCATACTACCTCAATGTTATTTTTCATACTACCACCCCTCTATGTTATTTTTCATACTACCACCCCTCAATGTTATTTTTCATACTACCACCCCTCAATGTTATTTTTCATACTACCACCCCTCAATGTTATTTTTCATACTACCACCCCTCAATGTTATTTTTCATACTACCACCCCTCAATGTTATTTTTCATACTACCACCCCTCAATGTTATTTTCATACTACCACCCCTCAATGTTATTTTTCATACTACACCCCTCAATGTTATTTTTATACTGCCATGACCATGGGTAGTTTTCATATTACCACACCTCAAGTGAAGTTTTCATACTACTTTCTTTTAAAGATATTTTATACTACCATCTCTTAATGGTAGTTTTTATACTTTTATTACACCTTATGAGTAGTCTTCATAACTCATCTGTCAAGGATAATTAAACATACCCCTTCCCACAATGGACCCGTCCAAATAGCGAATGTTCAATTATTAGAGTAGAGTATTAGGTGATTAGTAAGTAATAAATAAAATCGTAAATACTTACCTTAGCGTTACCATAACAACACATCAACATACTATAACAGAAGAGTCAATTCTTGTGAGAAAATACTTGTTTATAAAAACAAATCTTACCTAAAATCTACACAAAGAACGTCTTGTAAGAAATGTACTAAAGATTCACACAACGCCGAGATGAAACAAAAATCCTGTCCACTCACTTCAATTCACGAAAATTAACCAAGATCGCATTCACTTATGGAAGAAAACGCTAAGATATTTATGCTCGTAGATTTTTATTTCGTGATAGAGCCAGAAGCGTGTTTACATTTGGGGGAACGAATGCGCGCGCTTCAAGACAAGAAAGTTCAAGGACTTCGAGTCACGTGCCAGCGCATGTGTGTATACAAGTGTGTGTGTGTGTGTGTGACTGATTCCACCGTCTTCGTCACGCTCCACTGAACGAGGCCCTCACCCAGGAAACATTACGGCGGGCTGGCAGCGTCCTGTCTTTAACAACTGGATCATCATCGATCTCCTCTCCCGCTGCGGTTATTGAGAAGGGAAAAAAATCGATTTGTACAGTAGGCTAAGCTAGAGGACAACAACTAATGGATGCAGGCGGACAACAGGCAACATGCAGAGGTCACGGCGGCAACTGACCTAAAGACCTCACAGCAGGGGTTGGTCAACTTATTACATAAGAAACGGCAGCTTACAAAATGTCGCGTTTCACACTAGTCATGCTAGTATTTACTGAACATAAGAGTACTCTTAGTCTTTGTAACCAATGGCCACCAACGTGATGACGTAGAGTTTGGTTAAGTGTTTGGCTAACACGAAAGTCACGAGTTCGAATCCCGTGTTCATGTCAGTAAAATGTACATGAGTCCACCCAGCTCTGATGTGTAATGGACGTTAGAGAAAGTAAAGGCGACTGGACATTAATCTAACCACAGTATCCCTTTATATGCCGAAGTCACAGAGACAGGTAAGTTCTACTTCACCTGCACGATGCATCGCCAGGTTCGAAAGAGTAATTTATTTATGAGCATGAGGCTCCCAGAAACACATCTCACACTCTACACGCAGTACGCAGTAATCTCACACTCTACACGCAGTACACAGTAAACTCACACTCTACACACAGTACGCAGTAATCTGATTGAGTACTAAGAAGCTACGAAATAGACAAGAGAGTCTAAAAGTTTGAGAATACGTCGAAGGTTTCTTTGCATTGCTCGGTATGAACACTCGCCTATGCTGGCCTCATCAGCTTGTGTAATTTGAGTAATTAACATCTGTAATTTAGAGGGTTAATATGGGATTTCAGACTACGCAGAGGTATCTCATTATCTCAGCGTGCAATATTTTCCTAATAATTACTTTTCTTTTGATGACATTTTTTTTTTTTACAACTTTCAATGTTTGCGAATAACCATGGCAGCACCTATACAATAAACAACCCTTCTATATTCTTCACTTTAAAAAAGAAGTTATGTATCAATGTTTGTAGGCTACATTAATATATTAACGGGATTCAGATATTTCGGGACATTTTGTATAGGATAGGGAACATTCTATTTTAACAAAGTTAAAAATTTTAAACGAAACAAATCATTCAAAGATATTTGAAAAATCGTACCATGTAAAATTTTGAATTTGTATCATAAAATGCTAATTTCCCCAACATGTATAACCACAAAAACAACGGTCCAATTACAGCTGTATAAACGTCGTTATGTTGTAAAACATCGTTGCAGCAGTAAAACGGCGTTGTAAAACGGAGAAACGACATGGTAATATCGATCGTACGTCCGGTGATCATCGATTTCTTTCAGCAAGGAGCAATTTAATTGCATGTTTTCATTAGTCCCACCACGGGCTGATTGGCTTCTTCCCAGTCACCCAGACACCCACCCCCTAGGGCCTAACAAGACCCCCACCCCCCACGTCATTGTTGTCAGGTCTTACCATGGAGGGTTGACGCCCCCACTACAAGTTAAGTAGCAGAGTGCTACTGGTTCTATAAAGAATGAGTCAAATGCTAATCAGTCTGGGTAAACACGATGGAGAGCAAACTTTATAATTAATTAGGCATTTTAAATCATTGATTACTTAATCGATTTTTGGATTTTAAAATATAATCAATTATCAATTAATTATACATCCAAGTCTCCACTCTAAGTCACGTGATCATCCCCCACCTCCACAACCCCCACTCCCCACCCCCACCCTCATGAAACCCGACAATCAGTTTTAATGAGCATAATGTAGTAGGTTATTTCCACGTCCATGCCCAACAAATTACAAACTCCAAACTTACCTGTACAACTATTTCACCTGGTTTGAAATAAGTTATGTTAAGCCCAAGTATTTTTAAGCTGTATTCTTTAATAAACTACAGAAGTTTGCCAACGTATAGATCTACATATTTATTACATACAATTGCCATTTAGTGCATGAGAAAAAAAGATTATTTAATTGACATAAAATAACGCGTCAACAAGAAGTGTATCAGACTAAGGTGTGTGTGTGGTGAGTGGGGGGGGGGGGGGGCGGGTATGTGTGTGGGGGACAGGGGGGTTAGGGGAGGAAAGGTTGTAAAGAGCGAGACATCTTGACTATTGCCTTATGTGTGTGGGGGGGCGGGTGTGTGGGTGGGGAGGGGGTAGGGGAGGAAAGGTTCTAAAGTGCGAGTCATCTAGACCATTGTCTTGTGGGTGTGTGGGGCGGATGTGTGGGTGACCATAAAAATGCCAGTACTTATCCAGGTGCAGTAGAGTTGTCCGGAGTGGTTTGCTGCTAACTGTGCATTAGACAATAATTGTAGTCCATGCTGTGACGTCTACAATGGAGGGGATACAAGATAAATGGTCATGATGGGAGATAACTCGTCATTATGTTATATGACTTTCTTTTTATGGGAGACAACTTCTCATTAATGAAGATAACTTCACATCATGGGAGATAACTTCTCATTTATTTCTATTAATTAAATCATGAGTGGGCGTATGGTGAAAAGATGTCGACGGCCCACAACCAGGTCATAAATGTCAGGGACCAACGACCACTATCACATGATTATAACACACACCCACATCCATCATCATACCTCGTGTGTATCGACATACGTTTAAACGCCTGTAATTACCAGTGTTTAACATGTGGGTTGAGACTCACGAGTTTAACATTTCTTGTGTTCTCTTACACTCATCAAGCGTGGCGTGTGTCCACATTAGAATAGTGAGTTGACTAATTATAGGTCACACGAGAGGGAAAATACGAGGGCGAAGAATGGGAGCTGGAGCTGGGGAGCTGGGTGTGGCTTAAGCCGGAGTCTGAGCTGCGATATTGCCCGGAGCGCGGAGTGGAAAGCCGTAATTCATTGTGAGCCTGCTTTGGAGGTAAACAAGTTCATATTACCTTCGTTTATTATTGTTCAGTGCTCCGTCTTTCCTCCTATAGGCCTATATGAAATGGGCCACATTACTCCATTATAAGACATGGGCCACATTACTCCTATAACTGGCATGGCCACATATACTCCTATAATTGATATGGGCCGAATTTAATCTCTCTTATTATTGACAATGGCCCCTCTATAGATTATTTTAATGTATCACATGGCATATTACTCCACTGACGGACACCAGAGTTCTTCCAGGCATCTCTTGGGGAGGGGGGGGGGGTCCGCCCCCCTCGAAGAAAGTCTACCGCCCCCCGAACAAAATGGAATTTAATATAGAAAATCAGAGAAAATATATACTTTTAAAATTGTAACAGTGTCCCCGTCCCCCATTTCCCCGAAAATTTCAAGTGCCCCCCCCCCCCCCCCGGAGAAAAACGTCTGGAAGAAACACTGACTGACAAGGACCACATGTAGAAACTATATTTTCTATCCTGACTTACAAGTCTGTTCATTCAGTAAAAAAAAAAAAACAGGCCTTGATGAAACGTTTATTTTAACAGATTAAATTCAGTACAGATTAAACATCTTAAGCAAAGGCGCTGTGTCGCTTCACCCCCACTCAAAGAAAACCTTCGTCATACCATTCTCCTCCCCCCCCCCCCCCCCCACCCCCACCCACCACTCCTTACTACACTTAGCGCGATCTTTAAGTTAAATTTACACAAGTTTTAAAAAAATCTTCACAACCCTCGTTCTTCTGGTATTCGTTCTCTCATTCAAACCCCTCAACCAAACACTTCAACCAACCCTCTCTATCAACCCCCGCAACCGACCCCCCTGAAACCCTATCAACCCCCCCCCCCCCCCTCCACGACCCAACGATTTCTGTACACACCACACCCTACTTCTCTAGTGTAGCATGCCAAGTTCCTTTAGATATTACTTTCAGCTCGAATATCCAGTGAATCCACGCATTTATTTTCAATAAAAAAAAACATTGGAATTTTTTTTTTTTAAACAAGATACAACTTGCGCACTAATACATTCAATCAGTTCTTTTATACACATGACCGCATTCTCAATGCGCATTGAATTAAAAATTATGGCACTTTTATACTATGTTAAGAAATGCAGCATTTTGTATGACACGATCTTTTTCTCATAGGAAATGTTGATTGGTTTATTGAGTTGTTGATATGAAAGTACGGTGTGTAATATTGTACATGTGGCTGAATTGTACTCCAATGGTACATCATATTACTTTACTTCATACTTTACATGTTACTGAGGGCTGTATGGTGATGCTTGGTTGTACACAGTACTACTTGTTACTTTGTGGTACTATGGCACTATGTTTAAAAGCCCAGTAATCAAAACGAAAGCGTATATTTCTGCTTGTGAGAAAAACACAAACATATGTGCGCTAGAATTCGTGTCCTGTTAAACTGCAATTAATGCTTCAAGTCTGATTAAACTTTCTTGTTAAAATACTTAATGACTAGGTTGAATAATTATCTGGAGCCGTTCTCAATCAAGTGTGGGAATGTTAAAAATACTTCAACCCCCCCCCCCCCCCCCCCCCCACTCCCCACCTTTTAGCTGGTAGAGTATTATGTAACATTTGAATAGAGTACCAACTGTCATGGTGGATAAAAAAAAATTACGCCATTCCCCAATCCTTTAACTATGGCAAAGCACACATTTTATAATTTTCTTATCTAATTATCTTATCTTAGTGGAATTATACTAAGTATTTTCTGGAATTAGTTTTGTCATATCTTCATAAAAAATAATGCTTTTTTTTATTTTTTTGCGTGTTAGTTTATATAAATAAAATCATAAAATTATTAGTGTTGTATAACATTATCTCACCAACATCAAACAACACACGTAGCAGAATGATGAACTAACACCTCACCCTTAACACAAAACGTTTACGATCTCTAAAACATTCATCTATAAAAATATCTACATAACAGCCTAAACACTAGAAAAAATCGTCAACATAACAGCCAAATAAGTACCGGATTACGCCTTCACTTCAGTAATTTCTTTTTGATTTTCAGAAATCTATATAAACATTTCCAAGCTTTAAGTAAATTTAAAAAAAAGCGATTAAAATAATTACCTTCAAATTATGCTAAACCTCCCAACAGCGAGAAAATCCCCACCGAAAAAAATCTTTGTTGCTTGAGTCAAAGGAGTGATTCTGTTCAAGTCACGCTAGCCGATTTTAAACTGCTACAGCAGCTGGTCCAGCTAAGTTCATTTCGCAATGTTTGTGCGGAGTGGGTTTTTTTTACTGCACTGTGTTAGTTGGCTGAGGATCTGTTGCATAAATCATTCCGCGTATTATTGCGTTCGCTTTGCTAGAAAGAAATACGTTATTGATCCGCAAGTTGTATTGATTGTCACCTTGATATTAGAAGGGAAACAATTTAGTTAATATCTACATACCATGTTGGGGGTCTTCACTTTCCACTGCATAGTGTGGAAAAATGTGTGTGCGTGTGTGTGTATGTGTGTATGTGTGTGTGTGTGTGTGTGATTTGAGGGTGGGGTGGTTATTGGGTTATTCCACCCCTACAATTTTCAACTAATGTAACAAAGAATGGAGGCTTACCAAACGTTAACTAACCGATTTCGAAGTTGTAATTTTATGTGTTTTTTTTTAGTGTTTGTGCTCATAACTTTGTGCATGCGGTTTTTTTTTTTGTAAATTACCTCATTCGGGCAAACGCCAATTGGGCATTTTTTTCCATTCGGGCATTTGTATGATTCGGGCAAAAGCCCATTCGGTCAAATCACCTTTGGGCAAACGCATTCGGGAGTGTATTTTGCTAAAGTGCTCATTCAGGAAAATGTCCATTAGGGTAAATGTCCATTCGATCCAAAAGCATGAAGACAATCTGCATACGGCCATTGTATTTTCAATTAACACCCGGCAACCGTAAGGAATACATTACAAACTACACTTCGCTAAATCACGCTGTACTTCATTACAAATCTATCACAAACATGAACCTGAGCAAGACAATGAGTCACAATGTTTAGGCGTGAGACAAATGCACAACCAAATGAAAGCTCAAGTAGTGCTGGAGTTTTCCCCCCTTATATTTCACGATCTCCATGTAGGCCCTCTTGGGCGCCATCGATGTTTGAAAACAAAAATACAAGTCGCCACCTGTCGCATAATGAGCGGGCGTCCAAGGAACGGGAAAATGAAATGTATTAGTGGGATATTTTAACCTATGCATTGCAAAGATGTAATTCAATATAAAGAAAATTCAACGAAATGTTAATTTTATTGAAGTCTGACGCCATTTTAACACGTGATCGTAAAATATGTGTTGGAAGCTGACGTCAAAAAGTTTGTTTATTTTGGTCACTCTTGAATGGTGAGTAATAAAATTCATATTATTTATGCCTTAATTTAAATAAAAAAATTACTAAATTAGAAATGCACATTTCGCAATTCCTAATCACGAACTGAATGTTAAATCAACGCTAGTCTCAACCATCATGCAGGCAGAGTTTCTTCCAGGCATCTCTTCGGGGGGGGGGGGGGGGGGGCAAAGCCCCCCCGAAATTTTTTTACCGCCCCCCCCCCCCCGAACGAAATGAAATTTATATAATTTATATAGAAAAAAGTCTGGAAGAAACACTGCATGCAGAACTCAGGGCTTTGCGGTGGGGTGGGGAAGGATGGGGAGGGGTGGGGTGGTGGTGATGGGATAGAAAGTGAGGTAAGCTGAAACAAAATTGGATGGAGAACATCAAGGAATCGACTGGGGTGGCCACTGCAGAATGACTTAAAGCAGCTGCAGACAGAGAAAGGTGGCGATGATTTGTGATGAAGTTAGATCTAAATGTATTGCTCCAACAATCATCCTGGTCTGATGTGATAGATAGATATATCAGAGAGCCAAGTAGATATATCAGAGAGCCAAGTAGATATATCAGAGAGGGAGGTAGATAGATCAGAGAGCTAGGTAGATATATCAGAGAGCCAGGTAGATATATCATTGAGCCAGGTAGATAGATCAGAGAGCCAGGTAGATATATCATTGAGCCAGGTAGATAGATCAGAGAGCCAGGTAGATAGATCAGAGAGCTAGGTAGATAGATCAGAGAGCTAGGTAGATAGATAGATCGGATAGCCAGGTAGATAGATAGATAGGATAGCCAGATAGATCAAATATCCAGTTAGATAGATAGCTAAGATAGCCAGGTAGATAGACAGTCCAAGCTGATGAAGTAAACAACAAGGTCCTGTATTGATCGAACCAGCAATCAGATCATGGCCGCTAGGCGGACAACAGATGGTGGATGGGTGGTAGTTGTGCTGGGGGGGGGGGGGGGGGGGAAGGCGGACAGCAGGTGGTGGATGGGTGGTGGTTGTGCTGGGGGGGGGGAAGGCGGACAGCAGGTGGTGGATGGGTGGTGGTTGTGCTGGGATTTGTTTACATGTGTTACACGGGGTGGAGGGTTTCTTTCTGGTTAAATGACTAGAGGGGGAGGGTAATAGGACAACACAGGGTAGAGGCGGTTTATTTCTGGTTATTTGACTGGGGGGGGGGGGTTATAGGACTACACGGGGTGAAGAGTTTCTTGTTGGTTATTTAACTATAGGGGGGGGGGGGGTTATAGGACTACACATAGGCTATATGACTATACGGAGGTGGGGTGTGTGATTTCATGGGGTTTATATGACTACTCGGTGTTATATGACTACTCGGTGTTATAAAATTACCTTGGGATAGGGTGGGGGGGGGGGGGTAAGCAAGAAGCTTTGTGCTTCACGTGTATGTGGCTTTATATACAGTCTATGAGTCTAGACAGTCTATACAATATCCGAAGGGGGCGGGGGGAGGGCGGGCAACAGCTGAAGTATATATTTTCTATATAAATTATGTATTCTTCTAATTCGTCAAGTGTGTGTGGGGGGGGGGGGGATGCGGTGGTCGTATTCAAAAGGAAGTGCATTCCCCCCCCCCCCCCCCCCCCGGAGAGATGCCTGAAAAAAACCTCTTGTATTTCGTCTTTGTTATGTTAGCGAATATCGAACAAGTGCAGCTATATTAAAAAGAAAAACATTCATTCTCACGTAACGATATCATGTGACTTTACGTCAGCGTCACGCTAAGTTACACCAAGAATTTACATCCTATTACTATAAGCAAGGATTGGGGGAGGGGTGAGGTTGGGTCTAGCACTTATGCGCATGTTTATATGATATGATTATTGTTCACTGGCTTTTTAATATGGATGGGTTGAAGTTTTACGAGATATATAATAATAATAAATATATATATGTATATATGTATATGTATATGTATATATATATATATATATATATATATATATATATATATATATATATATATATATACACACACACACACACACACATATATATATATATATATATATATATATATATATATATATATATATATATATATATATATATATATATATATATATATATAGTTCCTCTTTCGAACCTGATGATCCATTGAGCAAGTGAAGTAGAGTTCACCTGTTTCTGCGACCTAGGCATATGAAAGGATAGTGTGGTCAGCACTATGCCCAGCCGCCTTTTTCTCGACCGTGAGTTAGATACCCATCTGAGATAGGTGGACTCTGGGACGATCTACTGACTTGAACCGGTGCTCGAACTCCAGACTTTTAGGCCAGCAGTCAAACAATAGGCGACAGTAGACTAAATAGATTATAACATTTCTAAATTCTTTAAAAGAGTGGGGGGGGGGTGTTGACATCTTTGAACTAACACGTGGACTCAGATACTGAGACAATGTTTACAAACAAGTGACGAAATTTCTCCACACGGACGAGAAGACGAATTCACCAATCCTACAAGAGGAGCTATTTTTAGCAACACCATTATCTCCCTTATAAGACGTTTTGTATAGAAAGAGTTGCTTACCCTAACCGAGGTCCGCGTTCATTAAAAATTCAGATTGGCGTCATAAAAATAGCACGCTTCAATAAATCCATTCTAGGCCTCGTTTCAGATTCCATAAATTAAGTAGGTCACAAAACATTGAAGGACGGGACGACGACATTTCTTCTCGTTTAGGGAGTGTGTGTGGAAGGGGGGGGGGGAGGAATTTTTTGATGTGTTGTGATGGGAAAAACTGTTAGCATTTTTCATTAAAATATCAGTGCATAAAAGTATGAAGCGAGGTGCGGGTATTTGAAAGTCTAGCTGGTTTGACGCTACTCAGAAGGAAAAAATAATCAAATCTTGAGATGGATTGTATTCTGGCAACAGTTTTGCGGAGTTTTTGTTAGACAAAAAATGGCTACCTGACCTGCTGCTACTATCGTGACGTGAGAATTTTGACTTGTTGCTAAAGTCACAAACGCCTCATCATAATGTCACTTAAATAAGTTTACAGTCACTTTAACTAATTCTAAACTCAATTTGACTTAACCCTAAGAGCTTAACATATTTTAAAACCAAATTTATTCTGCAATATTATCTACGAGCCAACCAGCGGCGTATCATATGCCGCTATTTAGTTGTTTTATTTTCTACTTTTCAGTAATTCATAATTTGTGAATTCGACAGTACCAATGCTGCCACTGAAAATATTTGCTTTAAAACACTATCAGTAGGTCGTTAAGGACGATACTACCCCACCCTCCTTTCCCCCAACCCCAACCCCTACCCCCACCCTCCTTTCCCCTAACCCCTACCCTACACCCCCCCCCCCCCCCCCGTGAAAGCAGCCTCCTCTTAGTTACCTCCCCTAAGTTTAAAATAGTTTCAAACTAAATTATCTACCCCTAATAGCCGTCACTAAACCCGGCTCCATGAATGTAAACATTTAGCGTGAACCACAGCTCACCTGACCATGTAGGGGTGGGGTGGTAGGGAGCGCGCTTACAGGTTGTTTTCTAGCGTCTCCCAGAAGAGAATTATATATATATAGATGCCTACAGCCCTTTTTTCCATGACTATTCTGTAGTTCGTTTTGAATTCCATCTTAGTCGGTAGCATTATTTTAATCACACATTATTTATTTCCTCAAAACTAAGAGTTACTATACATCGAAGCTGGAGAATTCCTCCACTTTGTCTCTGATATATATTTGTCTGTCTTGCCCGTGTATCCCCCCAACCTAACTACATCGTGACGCCCTAAAGAAAACTATTGTACCCCTCCAAACCAACTCTATCGTGACGCCCTAAAAAAAAAACTATTGTACCCCTCCAAACCAACCCTATCGTAACCCCCCACAGGAAAACCATTGC